AGCGTTTACCCGAGGTATGAGATAGGCGTAACACGAGAAGGAAATGGGTATCAACGCTCCGTTAGAGCTTATAGCAATGGAAGTGTACCCGGTAAAGGAACGGAAAATGAAACTGCTCGGTAGAGAAACCGCAGCCTCCGCGGAGCACAACCTCGAACGGCCGGATAACATGTAATGGCACGAGGAGGCGCACCAAGAAACATTAGGTAGGGAAGGGTGCCCAACGAAAGCACACAACGAGGAAAGGAAAAATGAACGACGACAAAACGAAGATGAAACTCACCATGAGACCCTGCCATTCCGCATCAGTAGCCGCTGCTACTTTCTCTCCACCGAAACCAAGCGGGCCTCCCCCAGTACCCACACCCAAATCTCGTTCCTTCTCCCTCCCACCAACGTATCCCCCACCCAACCAAGCCTCCCACATAACAGGCTTCTTCCCCAAATCCACCTGTCCTGCACCTCTCCTTCCACCCATAACCCAAGGCCCGTGTACGGGAGGAACATACGTTCCGTTCCGTATGGCTTCCTCTACCATTCGGCGATGTCGTCGTCGCAGCAACAGCGAACGAGCAACGATGGCGGCTGAGACGCCTAGGAGGAGAATTAGGGTCGCTAGGAAGGTATATACTGCGGGTCGAGGCAAACGTTAGTGGTGTGTTCGAGTAAACGAAAGAGAAGACGAGACGAGGGGAAAGAAGAGGAGAGACGAGAAAAGTGATTGTAAAAGGGCCACCAGTGAAAGCGAACAATGGGGTATACGAACGAGCTTCCCCCAACCGAAAGAGATCAGGAAACGAGAACCTCTGACAACGAGAGGTAGTAATGGCGAGATGACGGTTGAAGCGATGCAAATAGGACGATCAGAAGCCACAATAAGCTCACGGCAAGAACGCGAAAAGAAAGAAGAGCACGAGCGAAAGCCAACAGCATCGCCGAGCACGCCTCAAATGAAGTGAACGTGCGAGGTAAGGCAATGGAGAGCAAAGCTCGAGCAGAAGGAGTGCATAGAGCGCTCCAAGATTTTACCACTCGGCAAAGCTCTTCAGCACCACAGAGCCGTAATCAACACGTCAAGAATATGAACAACGTTTGTTGAGCATCGAGAGGGCCGAATAAAGGGCGAAGAGTAGAACGAAGAGAGCAGAAGGAAATCATTCCATTGTCCTAAACCACCGAACGCCACCGATGCAACGATGGGTAGTAGAGTAGAAGAACGCGAAGAGGAAAACGGCTCATCGTTTCACGGGAACGGAGCAAAACGGACAGGTGACCAGTTCCGAGCGCTCGTAGAAAGGTGGAAGACCGCGACATAAAGCAGGTCAAGACCCCTCAGCGGCCGAACGAGAATCCGCAATGGTTTGGAAAGGTACGACGAAGCAGAAAAGCTCTTCCTCTACGCCACTGAGCCACCACCAGGACCTCCAATCACCTCGACTGAAGCATGACCGTCGCAGAGCCAGGAGACAAGGGTGTAGAATGTGAAAAAGAAAAAGAACTAGAGCCGAGAATAGAGAAGCTCGATGTAACAACTACCAAACGGATCTTTCAACCGTCCGGCTATCGTTCAGCTGTAGCCTGACGGCTTTGGAAACACCGAGATTAGGAATACCAAAGACGAAAAGACCACAGCGAGAACCATATGGCACGACGAGAAAGTTGAACATATCGGCATGCCAATGATAGAGAAGAGGGAACATGATTGACCCGATCCAAAGAGATACCGAGAAAGGGCCGCAGGAACGAAAGGAACCGCTTCTGCCGCTTGTGCCCGTAAATCGCGAGTGCAGCGTGTAGTCACTGTACAATTCCAAGCGGAAGGAGCGGGGATGACGGTCGTCACGGGGTAAGAGTTGCCGTGGGGGCCGCAGAGAGGTGGGGAGGTCGTCGTCTGAACTCCCGAAACGATGAAGATGAAGGTTCATGGACGAACAGACCCAAATGGCCCAATAGATGGTACAAAAACGAGACAAAGCGAAAAAAAGGGCAAAAAGGACTAAATTGAACACGAAATGACGACTTACAATATAACGAGGCACTCGTATTCCCAAACATTGGATCTCCTCCTCTATCTCCTCCCCTGTTCGGTCTATCTGTTGGCGTTGAGGCTGGTGACGAAAATGGATCGGTAAACGTTGAGGATACTGAGAACGTGTTCGACGTCGTTGGTGTTGAGCTCAGACTCCCACTGCCGCTTGGATCCGCTGCGGATGTTGAACTCGGTGACGATGATGACATGATTTGTTGGTTTTCGCAGAATTGGTGATCGTTGCTATAGTCGTTCCCTTCCGGCTTGTTGTTCTTCGCTCGTTAATTCGTGCTCGTCGTCGTCCTGGGTTCAGCCTCGGTTCTTTCCCGTCGTCGTCGTGTGCCCGTGTTGCCGTCAATTCTTCCTCTTCCCTATTTGCTTTGTCGTGACTATCTGTATCATTCATCAGCTAAATACCCAGGTAATGGATTTCAAATAATTCACATACCTCACAGCAGCAATAGTACACGGAAGAGAATCGATGGAGGGAAGGAGAAAAGGAAGCGTCGAGCAGATGGGAGTTCAAGTGAGAGTTTGAATTCCGGAACGAGCAATATATTTCCTGATTACTCATTCCCATGATGTCTTTTGCCGCTAGGATCGCCGCCGTCGGCAGTTGATCGGGTTCATGACTTCATTCAATTCCCGTTTCGGAATTCTCGGACGAGGCGGGATTTCGAAACACATGCGCCCCGGTCCCCGAACGCTGGGCGAGCGGGGGCGGTTGGGGAACGAGGAACGTGTTTTAACCGGGACGCAGGCGTAGCGGGAGAGATGACTACCACTCGAGAAACTTAGATCTAAATGTCAATCTTAATCATCTCTGTAAAAGTACTTTTTCTCTCACCATCTCTAATCAGTGATCACGGCTAAAAACAGAATAAGTCCACATTGCGCAGCAGATGAACTTCGGAATGACGCTCGTGCGTTCACGCCACTATTGCTTCCATTACTCCCTTCTCCTTACGATCGGTCCGGGTCCAACTACCGGAATCAGTCAGCGTTGGAAAACATTCAGACAGCTGTAAACTAATGATCCTAATCCTTTACAAAGCTGTTGACCAACGATGCCAACAAAGCTGTAGTCAAGAAACGACGGACTTGGCGAGTGGGTGAAATCAGGTGGGCTAGACTCTCGGGAAAGTCGGGCATACACAACCCAGCCATCGCAGAATAGGAAGCCCAGTGATCATTACACAGGCTCATGTACGAGGAACCGCGAAGGCGCAAAAGAAAAACGTATAACCTCTACCGATATGGGCCTGACCGGGAATTGAACCCGGGACCTCTCCCAGTTAAATCTCTCGTGAGACAGGCTCGGCGCCCGAAGGGAGAATCATACTACTAGACCATCAGGCCGTTAGCAATGTTGAAAGCCTGTACGCTCATCATACTGCATTCCAATCTGACGCTGGTTACCGTCCTGAGCTTTGAGATTTCGATAGATCAGACCCATCTAACCGCCAAACTGCTCAATATCCGCAGATATTGCCCATATTGACCGAGCGAGGAGCGTCGCCATTCCCTCACGCCCCGAAATGTAGTTGGTCATTTTCCGGTCCACACTTGTCAACTCGTGAATGCAAACACAGTTGATCGATGGATCAAAGCCCTCATCTGACAATCTGACATGGAATTCACCCAGAAAGAAAACAAGGCTCCCAGAGAATTGCTTTCCTGTACGCCGATATTCAAGATTAAAGGTTGAAGTTCTAAGAGTGGATTCAGGATGGCACACCCCAGGCCTTGTCACAGCTAGAAAATTCGGGAAGCAGTACTTGGGCAACTGACCACCTCTTTCATAAACCTCAGAAATTGCGTGGCTTGCGAGAGCGGAAACAAATTAGATAGTCCTCTGCCTCGGTCGGTACAATTCATAGATCCCGCACGACTCAGTTCACGCCAGGTACTCAGGTAGGTCGAATACGACTCCAATGGAAGTGGGCCCGAAGCTGAACACTCCTTGCCCGAGCCAATCGTCATTCAACACGAGAAATTCTATGTATCTATGAAGACACTAGCAAACATGACCAAGGACCTTTCAACCACGTCTACCGAGGAAGAGAAGGCTATCTCGTCACCGCCATAAGCTCACAGCTCTCGATATTAGAGAATCAAGGCGACGAAGAGCTTTAATGAACAATGTCTGTGATCTGGAGAGCTGCTGGTCAGCCACAAGATCGATCGATAAATCCACGAAAGGTACAACTCCGAGCGATACCGGACGTCTCATACGTGGATACGGTGCCGCCAGTCTCTCTCGAGCACAAAGTGTTGATAGAGTGGTTAGTGAGACCAATTCCAAAGACGCAGCTTCACTGATGGAGTCAGCATCTACTTGTAAACCGAACGATTAATCGTCTGAGCCCAAGGTCGCTAATTCAAGAGCGAGACTCCGACCGGACCAAAACGACAAAACTTCGAGGCTGAACAGACCAAGGTTTCGATTCTGTCGCGTAGGAATGAACAGTACCGACACGCCAAACAATTGAGGTCAGTTGAGAATCATATTAGAGCGACGTGTTATGGCAGTCCGGGCTGTGAGAAGTGGTCTTGGTAATAGATTGGTGGTTATTGGACGAAGAGCATTCACACTCTCACGACTTAAAGCCCATTGAAGTTATTTGCAGTCGTTCTCACTCACCGCTACACATCCACGGGAATACCGGCCAGTCGACTCCTTGATCAGAACTGATACGCGGTGATAATCGAGTTGGTGGGAAACGTTGGGTTACACGTCTATTGAAACCTCGTTTAGCTCAACTTGGAGGCTCTCATTCTCGTAAACTGCCAATCAGGCGCTTAGTTTCGGAAAAGGTTCGTGTAGCTTATAGCTGGAGGTTGACTTCGGCTCCTCGACCATCGAGAATTTTTTTTTCCTCGATCCCGCTCTCAACCCCGTATGGTCCCTTTGGCGGACAGATAATCTTTAGACTCCGTATTTCGACAATCGCGTTGGAGCATATCATTTTGAAGTAAAGACTCCCAGGCTGTTTGCCTGGCCGTAGAGAGAGAGGGCGCCGTGATAACTTGGACGGAGTTGGATAAAACAGCATCTCGAGGTACCGATAGATGGTCAACCGACCTTTCTCCTTCCATACGTTGAGCTTTCATTCACTATAGATAGCTCTTGCTCACTCACACACGTCCCCCCTAAGGCAAGCGTTCTCCAGGGACTCTCGATATCGAAAGCGGCATAGAAGCCTATCTCGCCACAGCACCCTCAATACGCGATGAATCTGGGCCACCAGAAAATTCCGTGGCAGGTACGTGACAGCATTTTACCACGTACCTGACACGGAACTGCCACGGAACTACCACGGACTTCGACTTCGTGCTCAGTGACTACGAAATTTAGTAAAAAATTGGTTCAGTTTTATTCGGTGTAGACTGGCTCAAATAACATACCTTGATGGTTTTTTCGCCTTGTATCCTCTCTCACCACTGCTAATGATCGCCTCAAGTGGTCTGCGACGTGCCCGGCAAATGCCGATCAGGTTTCTCACGGAGCTATCCTGAGGCTCCTGGCAGCCATTCTTCAACTTCCTTCGCGATAAGCAACACATGGCATACATGAATCTTGGAGCAAGGAAGCAAGGTTTGAGTTCAAAGTGCACGTTCATGTTCCGTTATTGGAAGGTATTTAAAGATATGCTTTTTTGTCGTCAATATTCCGAGCTTGGAGAATTTGGTAACCCATTCGCAGCTCATTCATCATTAGGACACATATAACCCATCGCTGGAGGCATAGATAATCAATAAACCGGCATAACGCTGCGAGGAATGAGCAGAACAGACCTTCATCTTTGGACGCATCGGTACGATAATATTGAAAGGCCCTGTCTGTTATCTCTGCTTTTTCGCGCGCTCTACAACCCAGCTGCACAACAACAAACCCCATTGCCTCATCGTCGAATAACTCTTGTAAGAGCGGAGACTCACACTGATTATTGAGGTTTCTCAGTACTCCAATAGCTGATGCACTACCAAACTCTCCTGCAAGCTTTCTTCCTAAATTTCAGGCCCCTCAACTTACACTTTTAGGCCGCGAATGAATAAATGCACTTGGAAATATAGGTTTGGGTAATGCCTGTTAGTCCTTGGGATACTGTATTTGATACTTGATATGATCATCGTACTGGGTTCTCATTTATTGATCTCGTAGTCAATCAGATAACGTCCAATAACTTCAGCATTCTACACCGCCTCTCCGAGATCGGATTCTCTAATGGGCCTTCCGTCTATCTCTCCTCCGTTCGTGGGTAACGGGATCTCATCGGAGACAGTTCCAGCGTTCGAATGAATTTGACTTGGAGAGTCGGGTACGAAGAAGTAGTCGAGTTGTTTGTTATTGATGTACGCAACACACTTCAAGGCCAGCTCCCACTGGAACCTCCGGGTGTGCGCTGTATCAAATGCGTTCGGTGAGGAGTCCCATGAGTCAAAGAACCGCTGCAAAGCTGCGTTGAGGGATCTAAGGAAGAAT